AAGCCCCAGGGAGGCAACCGGGCGCTTGTTCGGCGTGGCTGCGCTGTGGTGACAGCCAGCCCTGATGTCGGGGTGCAGCTCCGGAGTGACCCCGGCTGACGGCTGCGAGGACGCACCGGGGCAAAGCCGACCGATTGCGCTCTGGGGATGTTTCTTTCATGCCAGGTGGCTTCTGGAAAGCCGCCCTCGGAAGGTTAAAGGCCTTCTGCAGGGGAGAGCCATGGCGGGGGCGGGAGGGCTTTTCTCCTGTTTTGTGTGTTCATAGCTACAGTTAAAGGGAACAGTAAGCCACAAAGCGTAATAATTTTGCTGTTGGCACGGGAACTTGAGCGGTGTTTCAGAATCACAGAATGGCAAGGGTTGGAAGGGACCTCGGGAGATCACCCAGTCCAACCCCCCTGCTAAAGCAGGTTCTCCTAGAGCATTCTACACAGGACTTCATCCAGGCGGTCTTTGAATATCTCCAGAGAAGGAGACTCCACACCCCCCCTGCGCAGCCTGTTCCAGTGCTCCGTCACCCTCAGAGTAAAGTTTTTCCTCATATTCAACGGAAACCTCTTATGTTTCAGCCTGCACCCATTGCCCCTAGTCCTGTCGCTGGGCACCACTGCAAACAGACTGCTTCTGACAGGTTTTCCTTCCCCAGGCTGCGTGTTGTGCTCATACGGAGAACCCGTTTGCGTAACTTCTGCCAGCCTGAAGCGCCGCCCGGTCGCTTTCTGGTTCGGAAGGTCAGCTTAAGCCTTCGCTGTGTTTGTGCTCCGGTAACTTTGCCCTATGGGGTTACTTTCGTGTATTTGAAACGTTTTCCTCCTTGTTATGAACACAGAGCATCTGGAAAGTGAAAGGCACTGAAAGACATGGCAGCTTGCTTGGAAAAGGAGTCATTTTCTTTTCTTTAATGGAAAAATCCAGAAGGCCTAACCTGGCCCAAAAATTAACCACGCAGCTCGTCATGGGCCTGGGAAGGAGCGTGCACCTCCCTGCCCCTGCACGGCTTTGCCCGCGTTTACACTGGTGGTGAATTCTGCCCTGCTGGGATCGGCCTTCTGGCTTTCCAGCAGAGGCCTTTCCTTTTGGCAGCATTTATTCTTTGATACTTCACCTAAGCAGCTTTGATGGTTGCAGTTGTACGGAAGCGGGCTAAATCTGGGGATTGCAGAAGGTTTCCGAGCAGCGCATAGCGTGAATCTTCCTGTCCGATGGAAATAAAAGCCAATGTTCCTTTACAGTGTTGTGGAATTTTCTGATACTTAATCAGCTTAACTCTAGAAAAAGGCTATCGCGTAACGAAGGCTGGTTGGAGGAAAACCAGCAGCAGCCCCTGTGCCGCTTTCTGCCACGCGTGCCATTCTCGGCAGCGCCAGGAGCACGTCGCGGGAGGAGAGGGGATCTCGGCAGGGTTCTGTTGCCCGTCCAGTCAGCCCTGAAGCACAAGGTAAGCTGCCAGAGGAAGAAAGGAGGCTGTTTTCTAGCTCACGGTCAGCTGAATTTTTGCAGGGTATCTCATTAGGCTACTTCAGATCTGCCAAAAAAAAAAAAGAAAAAAAAAATAAACCAAAACCCAACCAAAAAACCGAAATGTGATTGATCTGCAGTAATTCCGCAGCGTTCCGGGAAAAGCAGATTTCCCGTTGCGTGGAGAGGCGCTGAACCCTCGCTCCGGGCGCCCGGTGACTCCCGCTCTTCTCTCCCGGTTTCTGGGCGCCGGGAGCGGCGGGAGCTGCCTCCGGGGGGGCGCCGGCGGGC